TTTAGGTTAAAATGCTATTGTTAGTTCAGTCTTACCACATTCTTTGTGTGGATTTATTATATCAAAAACCAATGAAAACACAAAAACGGAGATTGTAAAATGTTTAACGCAACGAAATAAAACGGCACGAAAATAGTAGAATAAAGGTGGGTGCCAAACGAACACTCAGTTCACCTAATAGTACGTGGATGCTGTGACCGATAGACAACAAAGCCTATTCTCGATTTAGAATCAAAATGTAGAAAATGCGTTGTCACCCGTAAGGACGAATAGAGTATATCTTGACTCGTTACCCGTAAAACAGTCTCCAGTTCTCTTCACTTAGCTTACGAAACATAGCAGCATTATACTGCTATTTTACGCTGATATTCCGGGACCTTAACCCGGTCTAGAAGACGATTAATTGCAAACCATAAATAAATTTCAAGTTAAAGTGGTTATTGAATTTATATGAGTTTATTTATTTCTCTACATTTTATAACAGCTTTGTGAATATTGAAAATTAAAAAGAAAAAGTAGTATCCATTAACATACGTTCCGCTGTTGGACATAAGCCTCTTTTAACAACTGAGAATGGTTAACTAGAGAGAGTGTGGTTTCATTGGACTGGTATCGATATTATTTTTTCGGTTCATTGTATTCGTTTAGTAACCATATTAGTAGAGGTCAAAGTATATCCACTGCCCCATAACATCCCGTGTGTTTCATAAAAGACGAAAGAGAGAAATTAAAACAAAAGGTAGTTTTTTACGTGATAGAGCGATGTTGCGACTATATTAATAGTATAGTTGTAGCACGAATGGGTCGACTCAACCCAAGAAGGACCACGCTCTCACAGAATACCAGCGTAAAATAGCAGCTTTATGTTGCTGTGTTTCGTACGGTAAGTGTAGAGAACCAGAGACCCATTTTACTGGAAAAGAGGAATTCTATGTTAATCCTCACGACTGACAACGCAAGTGCATTTTAATTCGTAAACGAAGATAGATGTAGATGTCTATGGGCCACAGCACCCACTTACCATCAGTTGTACTGTGTGCTCATTTGCACCTTTATTCTATTTAAAATAATAAAAGTGGGCAGCAGCGTTCCTAATAACGAAGTATAATTTAATGTACAAATTCATCTAGAGTTTGAACGTTGAAGGAAAGTTTCTTATAGCACTCGTATAACCCCTTACACAACCTGCATGATTAAAATTTAGATAAAGTGCGGCAGTCATCTAGAACTCCAAAAATGACATCGAATTCACACTAAGCTCCCTAAAAGCTCCTTACGCGACTCCCATTAATAAAATGTTATATAGTTAAATTCCAAAAATAACGTCAAATAGATAAACACCCGCGCACCCGCCCGATAAACCTGGACTTCTGCTAATCTGCCTCGTGTCTCACGGGCTGCAGCCACGATTATTTGGCGCCGGTTTTCTTCACACATATAAATTTTACAGATAATCGCGAAATATGATGTTATTTTGAATGTCTCTATACTTTACGATTGTTTAGTATAGTTTTATATCTAAACTACACAAAGGTGGGTAGAAGCGGTTGCTTGTGCATGTCTTATGCGAGCTCTAATAACACAAGACTGTGCATGCAAAAAGGAAAAAGGAGTGTAGATAGCAATCCCGGAAATGGACTATTTAAAATAATCTTATTGTATAAAAATAAACGAACTACCGTTACGCGCTAGTGCAAAAGTGGCGAGAACAATGGCGTATGCGTATTTTAGAACGAGAAAGATAAGTGCGACTATTCACGAATACGCTAGCCTATGGCATCATTCATGAACAAAACAAATCGTGCCCATATTTGCAATATTTCAGGTTTTATTTAATTATTATAACAATACTAATTATGAATGAAGTGCGAAGTACCTAAATATAACACACTTCAGAAAGAAAACCCTCATTTTTATATATTTAACCCATTGTTACGATTGAAATGTTTAGCTGTCTAAATGTTTTCTTTTTAAGGAGGTATAAACGATTTGTACACAAATAGATAGGAAAAATTATTACATTTTATAATATTAAAGTTATGAATGTTGAATTGAATTTAAGCTAATCACAAATACGTTAAATCCTGCTGATTCTAACCTTACATTTATTGTAGAGATTGACACTATCGATATGCAATAAGTGGTATGGCAGATCTGAGGAAACAGATGAACATACATACATAGCCTTCTAAAATAGTAAACATCATTTTGGCTTCGCTCTAGTCGGGTGAAAATATTCACTTAGGTTATATGCATCAAATTACAAGACAGGAATATACTGTAATCGGTATCGATAGTTGAAGTTGAGGCAGGATATGCATGGTGCAGCACTATTTGTCTTTCACACATGCACAATACACTCATACTGGTGTATTTTGATTTGCGTCTCACCCTAACCATTCTATTGCCAATATATTATATACTATATCTATAATTTACACATATTTAAGCGTCAGTAGCCTAAGGACAGGGTGCAGATCGGGAACTCAAAAGGTCGTGGGTTCGATTCCACCATTAAACTACTGTGGTTAACCGCTCCTAACACAATCGTTTTTATCTTATCAGGGGTGGTTAAACGATATATTAGAATCGTTTATAGCATAGCTAGTGCTTAAAAAAAATTACTTTAATTTACTTTACTATGCGGTCCGGTTACCATCTTATTAACGGTGCGGCTGCGACATCTTGTCAAGAAAAATCTCTGTATTAAAATAAATCGTTTTATTCATTTGAGGAAATTGCAGTACTTTATTTATAAAAGATGACCGATTTGTATTCTCTTACAGCACATGTCGTATGTTCTATTATAATTGTATATAAATTTAATACAAACACGCTGTAGCCCTGAGTATTGACCGTGTTACTTAATATTGTGGCCTTGGCAACTTGGGCCACACTTTCCCTTCTTACACCTCACGGCGGCGCTTACGATTGCATGGTTTGCTGGTCGTTGTACAATACGAACGACTATATTATTTTCTAGACTGTGGTATATAATAATATCTGAAATCATATAAAAATTTAATATTGTTGTCTAATTTAATAAAAGTTCTTATATAATATAACTTATAAAATTTTACAAGCTTAATTAAAGTGTGAGTAACGATCCAAGAGCGAGTCTCATGCGCCACTATTCCGAAGATATCCCGGACGTCAGTCTGAGCGAGATTATAATGGCTCTCCAGTCCTTCAAAACGGTAAGGCCCCAGGCGAGGATGGAATTACAGCGGAGCTTCTGAAAGCGGGTGGAAGACCGGTACTTGAAGTCCTTCAGAAGCTTTTTAATTCCGTCCTCCATGGTGGCATTACACCGGAGGCGTGGAGCAGAAGTGCAGTGGTCTTGTTCTTCAAGAAAGGTGACAACGCTCTCTTGAAGAACTACAGACCGATTTCCCTTCTGAGCCGCGTCTACGTGCTGTTTTCGAGAGTCATTACGAATCCTCTCGCGCGCAGTCTTGACGACTGCCAGCCTCCCGAACAAGCCGGTTTCCGAAAGGGCTTTAGCACCATAGACCACATACGTACCCTTCGGCAAGTTGTATAGAAGTCCGAGGAGTACAATTTGCCACTATGCCTGGCGTATGTGGACTATGAGAAATCCTTTGATTCCGTCGAAATTTGGGCGGTGCTGCAGTCCCTTCAGCGGTGCAAAGTTGACTGTCGGTATATCGAAGTGCTGAAGTGTTTGTACAGTAGGGCTTCGATGGCTATCCGAGTACAGAACCAGATCCAATTGCAGAGAGGTGTAAGACAGGGTGACGTCATATCCCCGAAACTCTTCACCGCTGCATTGGAAGACGTTTTCAAGCTTCTGGACTGGAAAGGATACGGTATCAACATCAATGGCGAGTACATCACTCACCTTCGATTTGCCGACGATATAGTCCTTATGGCAGAATCGCTGGAGGACCTAAGCACTGTGCTCAATGACCTCGATAGTGTTTCCCAACGGATAGGTCTTAAGATGAACATGGACAAAACAAAGATCATGTTCAATGTCCATGTCACACCTATGCCGGTAGTTGTTGGGAGCACTAAGCTCGAAGTTGTTGACGAGTATGTTTACCTGGGACAAATAGTCCGACTATGTAAGTCCAACTTCGACCGAGAGGTCAATCGACGGATTCAACTCGGCTGGGCAGCGTTCGGGAAGCTACGACACATCTTGTCGTCAGACATACCTCAAAACCTGAAAACGAAATTGTACAACCAGTGCGTGTTGCCAGTGATGACTTATGGAACTGAGACGTGGTCCTTCACTGCTGGCCGTATGAGGAAGCTCAAGGTCGCTCAGCGAGCTATGGAGAGGGCTATGCTCGGAGTTTCTCTGCGTGATAAACTTAGGAATGAGGATATCCGCAGTAGAACCAGAGTAACCGACATAGCCCAACGGATTAGTAAGCTGAAGTGGCAGTGGGCCGGCCATATAGCTCGAAGAACCGACAACCGATATGAAAAAAGGTTCTCGAGTGGCAGCCTCGTACCGGTAGGCGAAGTGTAGGGCGTCCCCCCACGAGATAGAGTGACGACCTGGTAAGACATGCAGGAAGTCGATGGATGCAGGTGGCTCAGGACCGTGCTTTGTGGCATTCTTTGGGGGAGGCCTATGTTCAGCAGTGGACTTGTGAAGGGCTGTAATGATGATGATGATGATGAATTAAACAAGCTCTCATACTCCAAATTCGTAAGTGAGGTAACCTCTACAGTAATAAAATACAAGAATAAAATAGAAGAATAATATAAAATAATATACCATTACGTTAATTTTGCGTCAATACATACACTACGTACTACCGTAAAGGACTGGAATCGTAACTATTGAAAATTAATAAATCTTTACCAAATATTTCAGTAACGGAAAGATTGTTGTGAAATAAGCCTTAACTGGAAAAAAAATCTTTTACTTCGGTTTTTATAATTTTTGGTTCATCGTCATCATCATTACCGCCCTATAATTAACTTTAATTTAATTTACTGTTACAGTAAAACGGAAACGAGTTATGTGGGGCGGCGGCGCGCAGTGTGTTCACGCCTCACTGCCGCGTAATTCTCGCGCGCAGCCCGCTCCTACTCTCAGCGGCGCCATCGCTAGCCGTCGCCCGCCCAGGTAAATAAAAATATAGAGCAGTCTCCAAGCTTTATCGACTATAAATCAAAAACTATCTATCATACATTCTTGTAATTTTGTATGTTAAATTAGACCTCCTTGAATATCTAGAATCTCAAATTACATTCTATTATAGTCCTTGGATTTTTAAGATGTGATAAGTGCCATTTTATCACTCAATAACGTTTAAAAAAACGAACAGGATTTTCTCCTGTATCATGGATGCAGCTTAGTATAGACGCGGAAGAATTATTTGTAGGCTATACAAATATTTGTTCCGTGCGGGATTCAAACCCGTGGCCTCCCGCACCGCAACTCATTGCTATGCCACTGCGCCACGGAACCATCAATAAACTTAGCTGATAAATCAAATTAAATGAACGCCTATTTTGCATCACGGGACTGTCAAAATTAACTGACTCGCTCATCAACAACCTAGGTCACTTCTAGGTGACTTAGAAATATGAAATATTTCATTGAGGTTAAAAATTATCTCTATTTATATCTAATTGCTTAATTTTGTTTTGAAAAGTGTTGGCAAAGTTATAATTGTTGTTCCTTCCAATTACTTTATTTGAAAATAAGCAATAACTTTGTCGAGATAAAATTTTTATATTTTTAAATGAACATAAAGATAACAGTGATGCGTAAACTCAAGAAAAATTTTTAATGGTCATATTATGTTATTATTAGAGGAATTATAAGTACTTAGATTTATATATTACCATTAGTGTTAGAATAATTTTTGAACAAAACTAAGGCAAGGTGCTAGCTAACTTTAGTATTCGTATAGTATAGTAACGCTGATGCTTTGAGATCGAATAAACGCTTAGATATCTTATGGCCAAATACTCAAAGACTACTCAATTTTAAGACGTCGTTAAGTCTCGTGGTGTCACAGTCACTCTGACTTAAAGTTATAGAGACAGCAAGAGATTTAATGGCTTTTCTTCTAATAAAATTAAAAGGACATGGGGTAACATTAATAGCGAAACTGGTAAGATCAACTCTCGCAATTCAAACTTCAAATTACCAGTTAAGTTTTAACAACAAATTAACTGAATCAGATCAGGACGTTGGAATAGTTTTTGGGAAATATTTTACTGATATTCCGATCTTCACCACTAAGTAACAGAATACTTGCCCTGCCGTCGCCGAATCATTACTTAAACAAAATGTGAAAGCATGTACAAAGAATTTTACATTTCATACAGTATCATCAAAAGATATTGTAAAATATTTTAAAACTATTGATGTTAAGAAAACTGCGGATCTGTGGGGGATTTCCGTTAAAGTTATTGCGTCTATAATAGATACAATCGCGCCTCATTTAACTATTATTTTTAATACTAGTATCGAATCTGGTGTGTTTCCTGATTTAATGATGTATAGTAAAGTAATACCTTTATTTAAATCTGGTAGTACATTAGACCGCGCCAATTTTAGACCTATTTCTGTACTACCAACACTTAGTAAGATTTTTGAAAAAATTGTTCGTGATCAAATGTTAAATTTTTTTAATATAAATAATTTACTTCATAAAAATAAATTTGGTTTCAATTCAATTTTGGTTTGGGTCGCTCGACAACTGATGCCAGTGTTGAGCTGATTACATATATCTTTAATGCATGGGAGAATTCACAGGATGCTTTGGGTATATTTTGTGACCTATCCAAGGCCTTCAATTGTGTCCACCATGAAACATTAATCAGGAAACTTCAACACTACGGTGTAAGAGAAGTGATGCTCTTAAATTAATTATTTCATTTTTAAGTAAAAGTACGCAAAAAGTTGTCATTAACAGTATGAGCTCTTCCGGGTCAATTGTACAAATGGGCGTGCCTCAAGGCTCAATTCTCGGCCCCTTTCTGTTTCTTGTGTACATTAATGACTTACCTTTCATAGTATAACCATGATATAGTAATATTTGCAGATGACACTTCTTTAATTTTTAAATTAAGTTGATAATTACTAAAATATGACGAAGTAAATAATGCTATATCTAAATCAGTAAATTGGTTAAATGTTAATAATTTGCATTTAAATGGCACTAAAACGAAATGTATAAAATTTATGACTCCAAATTTCAAACAAATGTAATTTTAAATGGGGAAAAACTGAGTCTTGTAGATACCACCATTTTCCTTGGAATCACACTAGATGCGAAGCTTCAATGGAGCCCCCATATATCAAAACTAGCAAGCAGGCTTAGTTCTGCAGCATATGCTGTAAAAAAGATTAGAAGTCTTACCAGTGTTGAAACAGCTAGACTACTTTAGCTACTTCCATAGCATAATGTCGTATGGTATTTTACTATGGGGACACGCAGCTGACACTGAAATTATATTTATTTAACAGAAGAGGGCCATAAGAACAATTTATGATTTAAAACCTAAAGAGTCGCTGCGATAAAAGTTTAAGGAAATTAATATATTAACTTTGGCCTCTCAATACATTTATGAAAATGTAATGTATTTACGTACACAAAAATAAAATTAGTTTTATAAAAATAAGTGGTATTCATTCTGTAAATACTAGGAACAGACACAGTAGTACCAGTTACTCGACTCCATCGAGTCAGTAATCTGTTCTTGGGGCGATGTATACGCTTTTACAAGAAAATTCCAGAAAATATATAAAATTTGACCTGCTCAAAGTTCAAAAACTTTATTAAACTAAGTTTGTTAAAAAGGGTTATTAAAATATTAAAGAATTTATGGATGATAATAACCCCTGGAAATCAGGTGAACGCTACTAAGCTATTTCTAATTTGTTGTGTTGTTAGTTTGTGTAACATACATGATTAAAAGCTGTTATTTTAAAGAAAAAAGTCCCGCTGGGATTCTTGCTGGTTCTTCCCAGGACAGAGGTTTTTTTTCGAACCAGTGGTAATTAAACTAAAGAGTGACTTTAAATAAGTATTATCTACAATCTGTATTAAATAAAAAAGTTTCTGTTTCAAAATAGTATGAAAAAGACAAAATAAAACCATCACACTACATAATAAAGACCTAAGCATGTTTTTCTTAGGCCCTTAAAATAGTTGAAACTTTCAATTGAAACTCAGTCGGGGTTTGGCACATAACTAAGTTGTACGGTCATACTTTTTATCACGTAAAGTATTTATCTCTTTTATATATATCATATAAGATAGTTACTATCAAAATAAATTGTATTTCTATTTTCAGGCCAACGCCACCTTCTCCTACATTAGTAGCCAAGATTGACTCATCAGTGGCATGTCTTTGGCTACTGACACCCTTGTCTGCCGGTACAGCTGTAGTTGCAGTACTGGTTGCGGTTTCAACTAATAACTGGTTGCATACCGAAGAAAATATGTTGAACCCTTTATACAACGGTACTGGAAAACATGCTTTAGTGGCCAAACACACAGTATCTGGACTTTGGAGAATATGTCATACTGAACGTTAGTATTTTTTAAAGTTTTATAAATTATTAACCATTAACAGTAACATTTTTGGCATTAATAATATGCCAATGTAAGCTTCTCTACAACCTCTGTCTGTCATTTCGATCGGAGGTATATGCCTTACAATGTCTTGTTTAAAGGTTGCAATTTTTTTTAATATCTCGTATATTATGGCAAGAAAGGTATATTTTAAGTATGTTTTACCATTTGTATTTGAAATATTATATCTTATTACTTATTACAATAATTTACTACAACATATACAATGATTTATTAATATTTACTTGTTTATTCTCTAACTTTATATTATATTTTATATTTATAGCTACTTAAGAAATACTTTAAATATAATTTGTTTAAATCTCCCAAGAAATGTTTTCTTGTATTTTTGAATGAAAGATGCTGTATAGAGAAGATATTAGATAACTTCATCGGCATAAAAAATCTAAAAAATGCCTGAGTAATCTTGTAACATGACATATAACAGAATACGAGTACCGACCCAAAAATTACACATTAAGTATATCTCGACCAGCGACAGAAAACATCGTCTAAAGTGCTTGAGACCTGTTATCAGGCGTCTAGCACTTTAGTAGATGAGAGAATAGTCCAGGTGACCAATCAGACTCATCAGTATATACTAAGAGGTGTTGTTTAAGATGCTTGATAATTAATGTAGTTTGGTACTGTACGTGTTGTGTGAGAACTCAAAACAAGGTGCCTCAAAACAAGCTCCTTGTATTAGTGAAAATTTACACACAAACACTCACGCCTGTCACCCAGAGGGGTAGGCAGAGACTACGGACTTCGATTTAGCGCGATGCCGACACACCTTTCTCGCCTCCTTAACATCCATATATCTACACATACACGCTCGTCGGTTAAGGGTACTCCTAATCTGGCCCATTTTCAATGTATCGCCAATTTGGTCGTTAAACCTTTGTCTAGGGCGTCCCTTCCCGACTCTGTCGTTCACTTCTGCAACATAAATTTGCTTTGTCACTCTTTGTTGTTGAAAATCTCTGGTAATAATATAATAATTTATTAATAATAGATGCATTTATTAATTTTATAATAACTGCTTATTTTAGGTAATCTCGATAGAAACAGAAGTGATGCAAAGTTAATTTTTGTGAAATTTCAAAAACTTTAAATGTTTAAATGTACGATAACAAAAGTAATTTTAGCTTAAAAGCTGAATACAATATGTGTGGTCTGGACACAATGGCGGACGAAACTTCCGTGTGTGATGCGCTTTTACAATGCGTCGTAGCTTCCGTCGTTCGGGAGAGGAAATGCATTGTGCGGCACATTGGCCGGTCCACACTCGGCCCACTTTTCAGCTTTGCGGAGTACACAGATGTGACCATTATCGTCAGTACATTTGTACAATTCCATTTCCTTCATTAAAGGCTTCATAAAAAGCTTTGTCTGTACTTTTTACATTCATGTGACTTACCATTTCGTTTCGCTATAGAGTTTGTCATTAACAATTAAAAATTAATAAACGATAACAAAACAGCCTGCAGTTGAAGAAAGGCATTCCATTTCTTGCGAGCTTAAAAGCCATTGTGCTACTTATTTGCTAATCTTGTATATATAGAGATCAGTGGCTAATGGGCTTAAAATGGAATTTCTTTAATTTTTTCTTACTTTATCTAAGGTATAATTTTTTTGTGTGTTTCTCATCACCATTACAGCCCTTCCCATGTTTACTGCTAAACATAGGTTGACTCTGTGAATGCCATAAAACCTAGATCTAAGCTGCTATTCGGGCTAAAACCAGGATAGTATCATGACCTCACATAATACCTGCGTAAGGTATAAGTGTGCATCATCCTTCTCCAATAGCATGGTAACAGCATTAAATAAAAGACTACACACTCCTGGGAACTGTCCCAGTAGTCCTAGAAAATACTGAGCACACACATCCAAACTACCTTATTGTTTCTGAGAGTTGGTGCCACTATTATCTGGAGACAGCGAAGCAAGCCTTGTTTTTTCTTACTAAGATGTAGGCGAGATACTCCGTATCATTCAACGTAGGGCATCAACTAGTATACACCTTTATTTTTCAGGCTGAAGTTTGCATGATTGTCAGAGAGGATAACTATTCTCCACACCTCGGAATTGATTGTTTCCCATAATCGAAATTTCTGCTTTTTGCCTGCGTACAGATAGTGGCAACCACCCCGCATCGACGAGTGCCTTAATGATTTATTTTTTATATAAGAGAAGGTGAACAACTGCATTATCAGGGGAAGTGCAGGTGTATTGCCGGCCTTTTATAAAACAGTAGGCTCTTTTCTTGAAAGTCCATGTCGTATTATCAGTTCGAAAAAATTGCTAGTAGTAGTCGATTGCAGCAGGAATTTGTGCAAGGAAGAATACTTCTGGTAAATTGCATAGTTGTGATTCCACGGCAGTAATGCGGACCCAGACCGACACCACAGTATAAATAAATATGAATATTTATACTGTGCCGACACGTTCAAATGGCTACAGAAAGATCTGTTTACGACTTTACCTTGGCAAATGGTCTGACACAACTGGTTATTTTGCTGAAAAAAGAGAAAAATAAAAAAGAAAAGAGAAGAGATTTATATACTTACTATGTCGCTTCTACAACTATAATGACACCTCATAATATAAATATGATAATGTGGGGTAACTGTACGCAGTTTTGATTAAATTACTTCCAGAATGAAACTGTTTTATAATTTGCAACCAATCAGGATTAATTCGCTTTAATTATACATTTCTAAACAATAACAAGACATAAAATTTTGACTCTTCTTATATTTGTAATGTGTAATTAAAAGTTTTATCAACGGGAAAGTGTCTGCAGGTTTTCGGTTAAGTGCACGCAACGTGGGCTAAGTGTGCACACGGCGGAATATCAATCTACTACGCAAAGGTCAAAAGTAAAAACACCACTTTCATAACTCGTACAATCTTAATGCCACCAGGACTTGCAACTATTGCACTCAATCCACTCTTCTATCCTCCTATCTTCATACTTTTCTCGACATAGTGGGCAGTAGAATTATTTTTCTTTCTGATTTGCGGATTGTTTTGTGTCTGTTTTCTTATTTTATTTAGTATTATCTTTCTTATTCGTCTTTTTATGTATCTTATCTTTGGATTCTGTGATTTTCCTTTACATTACCATATTTTTTATATATAGGCAAGAAATTAGGTAACTTGTGAATTTACAGCAATTAAAAAGGTTGTATTTTTTGCTATACACATACGTCTTTTGTGTCCAAAACGTATACTTACAGTATTCTGAGGCTTTTGACATCAGTTTACATACAATCTGCACAGTTTTTACAGGTTGCAATAATATTTATTTTAAGAACTCATATAAAAATGTACATTAGCCTTTATACGTCCCACTGCCTGGTACAAGCCTCCTATCATTTCTGAGAGGGTTTTAGAGTATGGAAATGTCCGCGACGCTGCCCCAATGCGTGTTGGCGAACTTCACATGTCTTCGAAATATAATTTTTTTTTATTTCTCAGTCATGCAGGTTTCCTCACGATGTTTTTCTTCACCGCCAAACCACAGTGTAAATCGGCACTTAAATTGACAATTAACAATATCATTGGTGCCGGCGGGGGTCAAACTGAGCTACCACGGCGTTAAGAACTCACACGACTAACTAAAGAAAACAAACACGAATGTCAAGTTCTTTAAAATGGTTAAAAATAAATATCAAGTTCTTTAAAGTTTTTAAATAACTTGACATTAATTTTTGATTTGTTTACTTTTCTAAATGTTTATAGAACTTGACATTTATTTTTGGTTTGTATACTTTCCCTTGGTTTGTTTATTTATCTTATGCCGCCACCTGTTAAATTTAAATATTTGTTTTTAAATTTCAGCGGGCAGTACGTTGTTTCGGTGTTTGGACATCCCATATTTTCCTCTGTCGCAATACACGCCAGATCCAAGTGATTCTACAAATGCGATTCCCTGTGAGTTACAATTTTTACTTAAATTTATAAAAAAATATTGTTCATAAGTAAGCGAGCTAGAAGTTACTATAATTCGGTGATAACAAACTGTATTTATATTTTCTATTAATAGTTTTTTTTTTATTGAGGATAGACGTATATGTCTATGGATCACAGCAACCACTCACCATCAGATGGACTGTGTGCACGTTTGCCACCCGATCCTATTAAAAAAATACTCAAACCAGAGACTGGGAGCAGCGTCAAAGAAACGAGGCATAAATCACTGCGATCGTCAACCTGCCAGACTTGACTATTAAGGCAAATTTTCTCTACAACGAGAAAGGCCCAAGTACAGCAGCAAGGACAAACTTTTAAGGGCTAATGAAGAAGAGTTTTTTAAAAATAATATTACACACTTATTTATTAATGATATAGTCCTTCACTGCTGGGCTTATGAGGAAGTAAAAAGCGACCTATGGAGAGAGCAATACTCGGAGTTTCTCTGCGTGATAAACTTAGAAATGAGGATATCCGCACTAAAATCAGAGTTACCGACATAGCCCAACGGATTAGTAAGCTGAAGTGGCAATGGGCCGACCATATAGCTCGAAGAACCGACAACCGATAGGGAAAAAAGGTTTACGAGTGGCGGCCTCGTACCGGTAGGCGAAGTGTAGGGTAACATCCAACTAGATGGAGTGACGACCTGGTAAGACATGCAGGAAGTCGATGGATGCAGGTGGCTCAGGACCGTGCTTTGCGGCATTCCTTGGGGGAGGCCTATATTCAGCAGTGGACTCGTGAAGATTTGTAATGATGATGATGATGATGATGATGATTAATGACGTAGACAAACTTCCTTGTATATATTGGCATTTATTCTGATATCTAAATTTAATTATCTTGAGGATAAGTGTTACTGTGATATTATTTGAAGTGAGTCTTTATTGACGTAGTGGAGCAAAAAACAAAAACGTCACGTTTTCTTGTAACGTTATAACACCGGGGCTGCATGAGTATATAAATGATATTTAACATACTTATGTAAAATCTCTATATAAAAATCAATTGCTGTCCGTTAGTCTCGCTAATATTTGAAACTGGCTCAATCGATTCTGATGATTTTTTTTGTGTTTTTGAGACTGGATGCTTTAGGTTCAGAATTGTACCCGGTAGGTGGTGCTGTTGTCGAGATCCAGAAATCCCCGTACAAAGCCGGCGCCGATTGCTAGTATACAATAAAAGAATAATGATATATAGAGAAGTTTCACTTCGTGTGTACACAATTACAATCAATATGTTTTGTGTCCTATAAAGTTCGTAATGAGCTTTACAAATAATATTTTTATGTTTTATCGTATTTTATATCAATGTTTTTAATTGTATTAAAATATTAAAAGCTTTAGTAAAAAAAATTAAGTGGTCAGTATCGCTTGTACAACAGTATTGGTTATATGACGTGGCAGAGCCACACTGCAGCTATCTTATGGTTGTAGCAGGAATGGGTCGGCTCGACCAGGGAAAGAACACACTATCACAGAATACCAGAGTAAAATAACATTTTTATGCTGCTGTGTTTCGTATTGTGAGTGTAGAGAACCGGAGACCAATTTTACTGGAAACGAGGTATTCCATCCTAGTTCCCAAGGGTGACAGTGCGTCTGCATTTTGAAATTTAATAGAGGATAGATGTCTATGGGCCACAGCAGCCACTTATCATCAGGTGGACTGTGTGCTCGTTTATCACCCTTATCCTATTAAAAAATAAATTATAATAACTAATAACTTAAATTATCTTAAATTCCTACTCTCCTTGAAATAGTTTATAAATTTTATAAACTATTTTACATTTTCTTTTTAATTTATAATAGTTTTTAAATTAAAAAGAAAATGTAAATCTATAAAGGTTTCTTTATAACATAAAATGTTCTCTTGTTTATATATTGGTAAATGTACAAGCAGTAGACTTTGTTACAATAAAAAACGCAGCCAGCAATTCCTCGCTATATATTTATAAACTTATTTTACAACGTATCGTAAAGTAAAAATAACGGCCAAATGCTACTAAAAAAAAAATACATTTTAAGCTATTGTTTTTTCAGACGTAGTGACGCGCTCTGCTGCACCATTACTTCTCGCTGTGTTCGCACAAGCGTTAGGAGCTTTGTGCTGTGTCCTGGGCCATTGCGTCAAAGGCCGACGTTTATGCACATTTATTGCTGGCGTGTTATTCATTATTTCTGGTAAGCAACAGGAAAAAATATATTTTGCTGTTTATCGTTGTTTACAAAAATTGTATATATTTATACTAAACAGACTTTTTTAATTTTTTGTGGTTAATGTACACTTTTACCATGTACACCCAATGCCGACCGTGTCGTAAAACGAGATAAGAAGAAAACAACCTAGAAGATGGGCAGCAGCGTTTTTCTAATTAAAAGCTGGAAAATAAAAAACAACTGCTGATTCCATCACGCCTGGCAAGCGTGGCAATTATTTCCCTTATTGAGGGAAGTCTATATTCCGCTGTGGACTTTGATAATTTGCTACAATGATGACGATGAATGTATACTTTATAATTCATATATGCATTATGAGTTAGCGGTACATGATCTTTTATTTTATTATTTATTCTTTGGTTGCCATAACACTCAACCAAGGAAAATGCTCAAACGATGTTGCCACCGTCATTTGATGGCTAAATAGCAATATCGGATGCTATGTGGACTTTTTGGTCTTTGTCTTTGTTGTCTCTTACGATATCTTCATAAGAAAATATTTTTTTATTTTTAGAATCGATTGTAATTAACAAAATATTTTTGCAATGACAAAAACTATTTTTCCAATGACACAAATAAACTATTGTTTCTTTCATCTTATTTCTGTGAGTATGTTTGCAATTTGTATAATGGCGGCTCTTCACGTTGGCCAACATAGTGGCGAATATGTTGGCAGAGATATTGGCCAAGAATTTGTGATCAGTTTGCTTTGGTTCAGGCCAATGTGCGGACGAATTTATTAAAATGATTATTGATGCGCTAACGGCTGGTGTGGTTTATTTATTAACAGCACACCACTATAACGTGAATGTATATAAGAAAAGGGTGATCGAAAAGAAATGGAAAAAAGGAAATTTTATTTCTTGACGACTCCGTGGCGTAGTAGCTTAGCAATGAGTTGCTGTGTTGGGGGCCGTGGGTTCGAATCCAGCACGGAACAAGTATTTGTATGGCCTGCAAATAATTGCTCCCGGTCTGGATGTTTGTCCTTATGCAATTTATGTTTGTAAACTGCCTTCACGATAAATCCTAGTGTGGGGGTAACGTTTATTTAAAAAAAAAAGACTTGAAAAACTTATGTTTCACAAACAATTTCCGACTTGGTAGGGCTCTATAAAGAGAAAATTTTTTTCATTGTTACTGCCATTATGTAGACAATAGTTACGATACGTACATATAAAATTTAAATAAGGTGCGTGCGATCACTCTGGGAGCTCGTAGCAAACTGAAGTTGCGCCCAACGTGTGGTCGCGGCGGCCAATACTCTGCCACAACCCTTTGATCTTTTGCAAAAAACCGACACCACACGGATCCTGCGCCAACTTGTGGGCCATCGTTCCAATACATATCAACATAGCTTAAACACCCGCTCTACACGATGGCCATCGTTGTTGGCCAACACATTCGCCATTATGTTGGTCAACGTGTAGAGCCGCCGTAAGAATGATGAGTGGTAGTGATCAGAGTATCTGGTAATTTAGTTGCGAAACCCGGTTTAGAAACCCAACAGGAACCAAGGTAATGCGAAAACAATAGTTGTTTTTTTTATATATAACATTCGCGAACGAACATACAGCCTACCTGACGGTAAGTATCAAAATGCATTGTCACCCCTGAGGACTAAGATAGAATGCCTCGTTTCTAGTGAAAAGAGTTTCCGGTTTTCGACATTTACCATATGAAGCACAGCAGTTTTAAGCTGTTATTTTGTGAGGGTGCAGTTTTTCGCTGCCAACACATTCATGCTACAAACCGTGTATGCTTTTAGGTCTGCTTTTTATGTGATTACCGTTACCGTCACAGCCTATTAAAGTCTACTGCTGATCATAGCTCTCCCTAGTAGATTGCTTCGTAGGAGGGATATTTGCCATAGTTGCCACGCTTGGCAAGCGGGTTGGCTACCACAGTTTTTATATTTAGTCGTTATTAGAAAGACGCTGCAGTCTATCTCCAAAACTGTTTCCCTCTGTCACCTCTTACAACAACCATGGGGTGGTAGATATTATTACACCGCTACTACATGATATATGTAGTGATTAACGTTCTTATATCTGGCATTGCATTCCAAAACTGCCTCCGATCTTATCCAATTAGGGACGTTACATCGGCAATGGGTACATTTGGAAAAGTGAATTGCTCTTTGCTTGCACTTAAATTTGTAGAAAGTATTCTGCGTAGTTGATAGCCACCTAATCAATCATAAATTTATATTTACTCGTATTTCTTTTTAGATAAACACAATTATTTGGAAACAATATAATATTTCTATATTAATCTATACCCTTTCGTTTTTCAGGATTAATAATGCTGACCGGCATTGTTATGTACATATCGGTGTTCAAGTCACAAGTGGGTCACAAACTACGTTACATGACAGTTTTTGATACGCCGAGAATGTCCTATAGCTATGGTTATTCTTTTGGACTATACATAAGTGGATTTGTGGCAGCCGAATTAGCCGGCACGTCAGCAATATTTCTCTTTTTACAATGGTATCAAAAAGATTGGATAACAGAGTTATGTGAGAAAGCAAAAGCAGACTGTCGTGCATGGGATCGTGAATACGCCTTTACAGAATTTAGAGAAAGGGATTCATCATTACTGGAGAGGCGTATGATGAAAAGGGATACCTATCCACCAACAGGATCTTCTGCGGCCACTCCGCACGAACGACGCCGATTCATATATGAGGGCGATGAATTGCCGCACTGCTCAATACACAAAAACAGAAGAATCAACTTGAGCTCTGCATCTTTAAAAGACTTGTCATCATCTACGTTATACGGATTTCCTGCCGCTCCACGACCGACAGCTTGTGACAATTATTTTGAAGAATTAAAGGAGATTCCTCAGAGCGCAAATACACTAAGTGGTTTGAGAAGCGCCTCGATATTCCAATCACAAGCATCAATAGCTAGTGGTAGATTCCTAGATACTTCAGCAGTGGAACCACCTCCTTCAAGAGAGGAAGAACTGGTAACATTCGGTACTGGAGCTCGTGCTGCAAACACTGCCGGTGACAAGCCTTCGCGTCACGATCGCGCTGTTGGTACCGATCCCTATCGAAGAACAACGCCCGTTTGATTTTAGAGATTCGGTGTTACACCATTTTAAGCATATCGTTAAGTGATACAGTGACTGTACTATTACATGTACAACTGTCTACATTCTAGTTAATTAATATTATGTGTAGATAGGTTTGAAGAACAGTCAAGAAAAGTGATTTCCGAATTTATGGACAAATGTGTAACGTTATAAAATTTTTAATTGTTGTAATTCCTATAATAAATACTGCCATTTGTGTAAATGTTGTTTGAATTAGAAGCCATATTATTATTATCTACTAGCTGTTCTCCGCGACTTCGCTCGCGTGTTAGGGTTTTCATATTTTTGCGTGGAACCCTAATTTTTTTCTTAAAATAAAAGTAAAAAAGTCCCGTCAAAAACGGTTGACCCGTTTCGGAGATAAGCCGGAACAAACAGACAGACAGACAAAAATTTTAAAAATTGTATTTTAGTTATATGTACCGTATTTGCTTTCTTATGCATTTAGTAAAAAACTGTAATTCAGACATTACACACAGACACTTCAATTTTATTTATTTTTATAGATGAAGTTTACTTTTAACACAATAACGTAAACCTACTAATGTCTATATTATTTTTATACAAGTAAAATTGTATGTAAATACCCATAGAGGGTAACCAGTAGTAATATTTTGGGTTTTATACACTTATAATATAAAACTTATGTATTATTAGCTTTTAATCGCGGCTTCGCCCGCGTGGAAGTCGGAAAATGACATAATTTCAAAAAATGCACAACCCATGTTCACCTTTTAGATTTTTGCGGCGATTTTTTCTACGCAGTAGACCATGCTGCAGCTATATTAGTAGTATAATTGTAGCACTAACGGGTCAGCCCAACCGGGGAAGAAGCATACTCTCACAAAATTCCAGCATAAAATAGCAGCTTAACAATGCTGTGTTGCGTATGGTGATTGTAGAGAACCGGCGACCCTTTTTACTGGTAACGAGGCATTCGATCTTAGTCCTCACGGGTGACAACACATCTCCATTTTGATTCTTTATTGAGGATAGATGTAGATGTCTATGGGTCGCAACAACCACTTACCATCAGGTGAACTGTGTACTTGTTTGTCACCCAATTTTATAAAAAAAAACTTCGTCCACATTGTGGTCGAATATATTTTAGATGTGATTTTAAGAAGTTACTGTTTATTTTTTTTTATAGATTTTATTATATTAGGTTCTTACATATGAAATTAGCGTTTTGTCGTACTGACCACTTTGATCTGAAATATCTCCTCTTTGGTTAAAAATTCCAAATTCAAATTTATAAATTCATTTAGCTGGTACATTTGAGTTTGAAAACAGCCATTCATTTGTTTTTTCCTCATTATTTTTTCTTTGGCGTCGCTTATTACCGCACAATGGAAAACATCAAATATCGGTGTATTTACGAGTACGAGTTCTACCGTGGCACCAATGCTGCAAAAACTACTCGAAGGATTATTGATGTGTACAGCGCTGGTATCGCAAAAGAAATCACGGTTCGTTTTTGGTTTTAAAGTATTCGTTCTGGAAATTTCCACCTTCAGAACCAACCCCGTGGACGGCCGGAGACCAAAGTGGAAAATGAAGAATTAAAGGCTATTGTAGAAGCGGATCCATCAAAAATTCGGGGTAAGCAATAAAACTGTATTAATCCACTTGAAGCAAATCAGGAAATTAAAAAACTTGATGGGTACCTCATGAATTGAGTGAATCGAACCTGCAAACACGCGTCGACTGCTGTTACTTTGCTCAAGTGACACAATAATGAAGGGATTTTAAATCGAATCATTACTTGTGATGAAAAGTGGATACTATACGATAATCGGAAGCGCTCGTCGCAATGGCTGAACCCTGGAGACCCAGCCAAATCCTGCCCTAAACGAAAATTGACTCAGAAAAAGTTACTTGTGAGTGTTTGGTGGACTAGCGCCGGTGTCATTCACTGCAGCTTTCTAAAATCTGGCCAAACTATAACGGCAGATATCTATAGTCAACAACTGCAAACCATGAAGGAAGAACTAGCTGCTAAACAACCGAGATTGGTCAATCACTCTAGACCACTGCTGCTTCACGACAACGCAAGACCACACACAAACAACTACTAAGTTAGATGAGCTACAATTGGAATGTCTGTGACATCCACCGTACTCCCCGGACCTTGCTCCAACAGATTACCATTTTTTCCGGAACTTCTTACAAGGAAAAAAATTCAACTCCGATGCGGCAGTTCAAACAGACTTCAAAGAGTTGTTGATTCTCGTCCCCATGGTTATTTTTTTTAGTAAAGGGATCAATGAAATACTTATGAGATGGCAAAAGTACATAGATAACAACGGTGCATACTTTGATTCATTAAATATATTTTAGAAAAAAAAAAATGACTTTATATTCCTCCCGTACAAAACGCCAATTTCATATGTATATACTATGTGATAGAGTCATATGCGGCTTATATTACGATTGAAGCACGAATGTATCAAAGTGAGTGTAGAGAATCGAAAACCCTTTTTACTAGCAACTAAACATACCTTATCTTAGGCCTCAGCGATAACAATACATCAACATTTTTATTCTTAATGGTAGACTGTCTGTTCGTATGTCACCCTTATTCTATAAAAAAAAACATTGCAACACTAAAATGATATCTCACGCTGGTTTCCTGTTAAGTGGGGCCTTCTCCAATTCAGCGGACCCATTCGTGCTGTTGTCATAATACAGCTACAGCGTACCTCTAAATCATAAAAAAACATATTCCACATTAGACATTGATAGCTTCTACGTTTCATTATCGAATACATACATCATGTCTGCCGACTACTGCCAGTCACTCACAGCCACATCAACATGCGTAGAAAATAATTCACATATAATAATGCATGGTTTGACAGCATGTCCAATATGCGAGATGTGTAGATGTGTGGGTTTATTGATACACATTATAAGCTTGAACTTCAATCTTTTGCATGTTAATGATGACAGTTGGAGTATTTAGTCTTTGAGTAGTAAGGACCCATCGGTTTATTGATTTCATAACAATCGATGTCATATTCTATTTAAATAAAGTCTATAGGCATCAGGTAGACTCATTTTTATAGAAAAAAGGTGACAAACTAACACACAGTTCACCCGATGTTAAGTGGTTGCCGCGACCCATAGACATTTACATCTATCTTCGATTACGAATCAAAATGCAGATGCGTTGTCACCCGTGAGGACTAAGATGGAATGCCTCTTTTCCAGTAAAAATGGTCTCCGGTGCTCTACAATCACCATACGAAACACAGCAGCGTTAAGTTGCTATTTTACGCTGGTATTCTGTGAGAGCGTGATCCTTCCCCGGTCGAGCCGACCCATTCGTGCTACAACCATAATATAGCTGTAGCATAGCTCCACCACGTCAAAAGTTGGTGGTGGACATCTACATCCATCCTCGACAAAGCATATAAACGCAGATGTGCTGCCAATCCTGAGGACAAAGTTGGAATGCCTTAATTTCAGTAGAAATTTATTCCGGATCTCTACACTCACATTACAATACACAGCAATAATTTTACCTTACCCTGATATTCTGTTAGAGCGTAGTTCTTCTCCGGTCGAGCCGACCCATGACATAGCTACAGCACAAATACTACTTATGTATAAAAATTTTGATTATATAATGTATATTATACCCCATTAATTGTAGATAAAATTAATAATTATGCACAAAGAAAGGAAAATACTAAAAAGATTACATAACATATGTAGCTTTTGGATATATTTAAAAAATTAAGTGATTCTAATTTTAAAAACAAATACAATCATATAATCATATTTTATAACGATTAAACTTTCAATGTGACGTAAAATGTCATGAAAAATTAATTTGAAAGATTTATAATATACCCTGAAAAGATTTCTGCAAAATGGGGGGGTAAGTTGAATTAAATCTTTACAAAAACAAAGTTATCTGTATGTTTCTAAAAAGATTGTTATTAATTTGAGACTAATTTTGTTTCAGGCTTGTATCCTGGTTGTAAGTACTATAAACATGTCTGATTGGTATCTTCTTAAGAAATACTGTGCCCATTATAATTTATAATAAATTTTTTAGCGGCAAAAAAGATCCACAAACCCCAGTCAAGGGTCTCGGCGAACGACTAAAAAACATTTTTACTTACCATTTTCGAGGTATTATTGGATTTTTTGTACCTTTGTTTGCATTGTCTTGGCAAGGAGAAAAAGGAAAGGTAAATTTTGTTATATCTAAGATAATTAGATGGTAAAACTTACCTTAAGTGAATTTTGACCATAACTATACGAAGCTCTACTACTACTGTTACTTTATAGCTGTTAGACATATTTGTAAACTTTTCAAACCAGTTAATAAACCGTGCTATATCTGAAAAAGATATCAAACCTAACTGCTTATGTTTTTCTGTCATCATAATCATTACTCCTCATAACAAATCCACAGCTAAACAAGGAATGCAAAAAAGTCCTGAGCCACCTGCATTCACTGCATATCTTACCAGCTCGTCACTCCATTTAGTGAGGATCACCGTGCACTTCGCTTATCGGTACGAAGCTGTCACTCGAGAATCTTTCTTCCCTATCAGTTGTCAGGTCTTTGAGCTATATAGTCAGTCCAATGCTAGTGCAGCTTACAGATCCGTGGTGCTATGACGGTTACTCTTGTTTTGCTGCAGACATCATACAGAGAAACTCCCTAGCTAAATCCATGCACAAACTTTTATACGTGGTAGAGCCATGCTGCAGCTATATTTCTGGTATAGTTGTAACTTGAATGGGTCGGTTCGACCGGGAAACACGCTCCCACAGAATACTAGCGTAAAATAGCAGCTTAATGCTGCTGTGTTTCGGATGGTGAGTGTAGAGAACCGGAAATCCTTTTTACTGGAAACGAGGCATTCCATCTTAGTCCTCACGGGTGACAACGCATCTGCATTTTGATTCGTAATCGAGGATAAATATAGATGTCTATGGGCCACAGCAACCACTTACCA